CTATATGGGCGTCACTTGGAATAGCAGTCATTAAAGTTGAGTGATATGAGAATATGTTTCCCTCTATTTCTAACTAAATCATGAATATTATTTTTGAAGGCGGAGAGAGACACATGTTCATGTGCGTCTTTATCACCAGACCAGATAGCAACGAAGGCAGTAACAACATCTAACAGCAATGCTGTAAACCAACAACCGAATACACCACACCCACAGGTAATCACCCGTCCACTGCAAAACCAATTCAACAATTTACCATCTACATGTCAGAATACGAGTGTAGCACAAACATCTGCAACCCGTCCACTGCAAAACCAAATCAGCAATTTACCATCCACATGTCAGAATACGAGTGTAGCACAAACATCTGCAACCCGTCCACTGCCAAACCAAATCAACAATTTCCCATCTACAAGTCAAAATACGAGTGTACCACAAACATCTGCAATCCATCTATTGCAAAACCAATTCAGCAATTTCCCATATACAAGTCAAAATACGAGTGTAGCACAAACATCTGGAATCCGTCCACTGCAAAACCAATTCAACAATTTCCCATATACAAGTCAAAATACGAGTGTAGCACAAATATCTGCAATCAGTTTATTGCAAAACCAATTCAGCAATTTCCCATCTACATATATACGGGATTTCAACCCAACCTTGGTTGCTAGTGAAGCGGCGTTAAGCAACCCTCCAGCAGCACCTACTAGACCGTTTGTAATTACCCTCTTGCAGAAATGCCACAGTAAGGTTAGTGTTTGCTATAGTTGCCGACAAAACCTGAAGCCAGACGATCAGATTCCTCCTCCTCCAGCTGACTTGGTTGTCGTAACCAAAACGCGCCGAGAGTATCACGATCCACATGATGGAACACCACAAGTTGGAAAAGACCCAAAGAATGTTTACTATCACTGTCATCCAGACTGCATAAAAAAGAAGCAAGTATATTTTTCTCCCCATCTTGCTCAAACCGATCCTGGTGTTAAAGCCTTCCTTACAGCTATTCATGTTGAATACATTCATCAAAACTTTGGGATGAATGCGTTATAAAGATTTTTTTGCAAGTCGACGCATTACTGTTACGATATCTTATCGGTTAACATATGTATCAAGTGACACAATTGTTAAAGATTTATGCCTTTGTTGTCAAGAGCAATGATGCCAACTTTGAAACATTAAAACGACTTTGCACCAAGTCTCGTAGTCTTGGGCTATTGTGCATGTCTATTGGTAACACGGAAGTGGTCTATTATGCATCGTGATGATGTCATTTTGATAAAAATACGTTTGTGTTGAGTTAAAGAATTGAACTATCATGCATGTATAAGTATTTAGAGGGCATTTCATATGAATACCACAATTTATCTATGGAAAAGGCTGAATGTTTTGCAATGCATGCTTATTAGGGGCAACCAGGGAAGGGGGTGGGTGCATTCCATATATACAGTCAATTCAAAAAAGGTTGTCCTTTGCAAACCTTAAACTCTAAGCGCGCAAAGCTTAATGGGAGTACAAGTTTCAAGTTTAGGAGTTGAATATTGCAGCTATTTGTTGTTCTCGTATAAGGAGATATGACCATGTCTCTAAGAAATGGGCCCCATTCGATTTTTAAACCGATTAAAAATAATGCTTCCATTATGCTTTGCACGCTTGGAGTTTAAGGTTTAGAGTTTAAGAGATTTGCAAAGGACAACCTTTTTTGAATTAGTTGTATATAAAGTATGTTTGCACTTACGCTCTCCTTTTTAATACAAACGTGGTATTTTAAGCAAGGTATTATAGTGACGTTTACTGGTAAATTATCACGTGATCATAAGAAAACCCTCTGATTACTTCTATCAAAAAGAGGGCTTACTAGAAGGTTAAACATGAAAGGGAAGGGAGTTAATTGATTTATTTGAATGACGACTCCATCGTTAAACATCTATATCTGCATGTGCGGTGGTTTATATTAACTGGTTCATATTACTGTGCGGTGGTTTATATTATTGGTGATTTATACTAATTGTTTGAGTAAATATTGTGGCTTAAAATTGAAACTTAAACTATTAAAAATTGAATTTCAATTGCGTGAATATCGTTACTATTCTGAATTACAATCCGGTCATGCAAGTTATGGTCTTTTAACAGGTGATTAAATTAAATAGACTTGGGACGGTTCGTTATAATTATTGCCAAGTGGGGCTGGTGTTTATTTTTTAGGTAGTTTATCAAGAAATGTACCTCCCTAAAATTCAACGTTTTTAAAATTGCACACCCCCCAAAAAAAAAATCCTGTGAGAAAAATTTACGCCCGCCAATTATTTCCTTGCGCGTGCAGTTTACATTTTTAAAACGTGTTTTATATTACTATATTGCGGCTTTTCTGGATTGAAATTTATGGCTCAAGAGCATATTTGTTGAATGTTTAAAATTGTTGAAAGCAATTAAAGTTGTAGAAAAGGTGTTGAAAGCATTTTCGAAAGCAATGACGTATTACCAAATGACAAATAATCACGACCAATCACGCGAGTGACACTTGCTAGGAAAATGGCGACCATGGGACAACTTTTTTATACTGAAGTTACACATCTGTCCATATTTAATCTAGGGTCGAGATTATATTTGTATATTTTTCATTTAAAAATAATTTGTTTATTGTTTCGGTTTTTTGAATTTATCAAAATATTCTGTTCTAATAGTGTTTTTGTACTAATCTAGAAATTTCTTTATTTTTTGCCAATATTTTCTTTGTATAGTATCAAAGTCAAACAATGTATGAAATTGCTAGAACTAAAACTGTATCCCCCCATTTTTCATCGACTCGAAAAATATCCCCCCAGACCAGACCCCCCCCCTGGCCATAATTAACGAACAGTCCCTTAAGGCACTGCTATGAGATCTTAAAATAATTGAGCAGGATTGAAGCTGTGCCGTCGTCAGTTCTTCTGTATACACTGACACTGTATAAAACATAATAAAGCGATTAAAGGAAAGTTACATGTGGCCGGCAGCCGGCTGTACAACAATCCCCCGATACGATTGCATGGTTTATAATAGCGTTTTCTGCAGAATTTTGTAGAATTTCGCATTAATAATGATCTATTTTACGATTTGAAAGAGTGGTTCTCTCGGGTGCTTCATCCGTAAAAATTACATGCATGCGATATGTTTACATACTGTATTTAAAAGAGTCAATCAATTCATCAACATTAATATGTCTAGATTATATACACAGGGATAAATCTATTTGTTACAATTACAGTGAAAATACAAAAAGTGTCCCACCTCCGCTTCTGTAGTTTGTTGTGATTTACTGTAATTTGTTCTGTTTTTCTGTAGCGATTACCGATTTATCGGCAAATACTGCGATAAAATTTAAATTCTGTTCCTTTTGTGCAATGAAACTAACGAAAAATGTATTATTTCCCTTTGCTACAAATTATCATATTTAAAAATAGAAAAAAACTAAGTTTTATCGCGGTATTTGTCGATAAATCGGTAATCGCTACAGAAAAACAGAACAAATTACAGTAAATCACAACAAACTACAGAAGCGGAAGTGGCACACTTTTTGTATTTTCACTGTAACGTTAGCGATGAGTATAGGTACTTAAGTTAAGCTTAAGCCTTAAGGGCGAAGAATCAGAAGAGGCTTCGATCGGTTATAAGCACCGAAAGCCTAAGAAGCTATTAAATTTTCAGGTGTAATTATGCCAATCAAGCGAATACAATGTATGTCTAATTGTACCTTTAAGCCTTTACTACAAAACGTTAGAGACTACGTTAATTTATTAAGTTTTAAAAAATGCCATGTCGCGTCATGTTTTCAACTCAAACATCTGAGCAGATTTTATCTGTGCCAATGGGCAATGGGCAGATGCTATAAATGACAAATTTTTGTTCTATGTTTAGATTTATAAAAATACGAAAATTTTAAAAATAATAAAATTTCAAAATCGAAAGTCCAAAGTCCATAGTCCAAAGTCCAGTCCAGTGTTTACAATATGCTGTCTGTACTCTGGTTCTCTACTACATTTTGGTCATTCACACAACTAACGAGTTCACATTTCGCCAAATCTGCGCCAGCCATCACGTCTCTTGCCATGTTAGCGACCCTTACAGGTACTATGAGTTCATGACTACATAACTTTGTCAGGACCAACCATTAGACCAGGTATCGCTTCGATGTGGTTAGGCTTAATAATCCCCAAAGTTGATCCACCAGAGTAATCTAAAATCTTCGCTGGGATTATTGCTTCTGTGTGTGGCATTACACGAATGTCTTCCATTGCAACCACTCGATAACAAGCAAAACTCAAACTCTTGTTGCTAAGATACAATAATGGCAGAGTCACATTTCTAACTTCGATTGTCATATCCTTTATGTCAATGTGACAGTTGTGTTGTTGCAAGAAGTCCAGTCCCAATATAAATCTTCTCTAACATCAACCACCCGAAAGTTCTGCCGAGATGTGTGTCCAGCAATACCCAACGACAATGTGATTCCACTCAACATCGGTCTCTTTTCACCAGTCACCGACCATAGGCTACTCCTCGCAGGTTGGATCGCAGATAAATCAACACCAACACTTTATATAACTCGTCCCTTACATCCTGCTGCGATGAAGCCAGCATTCCAGCATGAACTTGAACTAAACGATCACAAGCTGCTTCTAGCTCAATCTCCAAACTTTGCACTTTACTTTGCAACCCAGCGATTAAGAACTCATACTCCATGCTTTTGTTTAATATCATGTTGAAGTCTGTTGACAGTAGCCTCATTTCATCACTTAATCTATTGACTTTGTTGACCATTTCACATGTTTGTCGGTCGTGTTCTTCTCATATTGTCTGAGCAACTTCTGTTGCTCCTTCACTAATACCACTAATTCGTCTTGAAAGGACAACACATGGCCATGGGCGCTCTCTGATAAAGCGTCATCAACGTTATCATCTATCTCTTGGCGTTGAGCCGCTTGTGCCCTAGTTTCTGACATCTATACAATCTTTCTCTGAGACCCCAAGGAATTCCTGGTGGGGTCGCCAAAATGTAATAAATCAGACAACAACTTCAGCTTGTGTTAGACAAAATATATTAAAGTGTCCCTGTCACAAAATGAGAGTTTATATTTTCGAAATCTATGATACAAAATATACGGAAATTCGAAAACGGAATTGAATTTGCTTTTTTAGTGTAAAAGTTATTGCCGTTTAAACATTGAATTTGGCCTTGTGAAAAATCTGAAAACCGCGCAAAAGGGACTGGGACGAAACAATGTGTGTGACGTAATAGTAGGAACTTATGTAGCTCACTAATATAGAAATACTATTGCATGTACTATCATAGAGGAGGCAATAGCGCAAATAAAAGTCACGAAACTGAAAAATTGCCGAATATATGTGTAGTAGGCGGTTGTTCTAATGTCACAGATACAGAGTAAGGCATTTCACTTCATTTTATACCTTTTACTGGAGGCGAGATGCACGAAGTGAAAAGGACACGGATTGACTACCAGCAATATGAGATCCAAAGTTCAGCATACTTTGCGAAGATAGAGCTTGCTGGTAAAACCACGGTTAGCTACCGACGAAATTGGTTTCATTGCAATTCCAAAATATACAAATACTGTCGACGACAAACCTTTGTCTGCGAGAGCCAAGAGAATGGTATATGTATAATTTATATTCTAATTTAGTCGTTTATCATGCACTTGAATATGGCCTACTGCAATTTTTATTCCGGCCAAATTCGTTATTTGAATAGGTTGTATTTAGAAGCTGCTTCGATGCAGTCAACCGATATGGTCATAGTCACGAAACTGGAAAGCGCGATAAATATAAATGAGCCACAGCCAATGGATTCACCAGAAATATAAAATATCGCGACAATATAGCTATGACTATGAGTGAATATGGTCAAAATATAGCTGATGAAAGCCAATTTCTTGCGTCTACAAGCAATGTGCACTGTCTGTATTTTAGTTTAGACAGAGAAAGTAGAATTGTACGTATAAGTAAACTTGACGCAGTAAATTATACATATATACACTCGTTGTGTTTGCACCGCAGTGAAAACCCGTACAATATGCAGATTTTGTAACAAATTGTGGCATGAAACCAGATACACTGCGGGGGTGTATTACAAAGTATAATCCATTGAAGCAACTTAATGAAATAACTTAGTCATTGCCACATTTGCTATAGTATAAGGCAGTGCCTGGAACGAAATACAGAAAAATTCCTAAACGTGCTGCAACACTTTGTACAAATTAACCCGCGCGCACGAAGTGCAGAAAAACATCAGATACAAATCTTAATCTCAAATTTCAGTCTCTTTGGCAAAACAATATTGAAGTCATGAATATAGCAAATGTGCTGTTTCTATACGCAATACAGTATAATATTACCACGTTTATACAGTGTAATAGGTTTATTTATTGAAAAATAGTTATATAATATCAAGAGCTGTTCTCTACAAATCCTACAAAGTCTTCATCAACAGCAGGCATTATTTTCTCATATGCGCAAAAATGTCTATTTCCTAGTTGTCCATAAACCAATCCACACAAAGTTTCTATATGCTGTGCTCCTTCAGAATCTATAAATTAATAAATAAGTATTTTTAATAAGTTGCTTACTTGCATGTGAACACATGTAAATATATAATAATTCAATAATTGTACAGTATGTACCGTATATAAACTCTCAGTTACCGTACCGCATGCGTGTGTTCACTGATAGTAAACTCGGGTATGGTAAAGTGTTTCTTAATTTCAATATGTTGATAAATAAAACTTTATTTACCTATCTTCTGTGCTTGTTTGACGGTATTCCTGTTTCTTTCTTGTTCGTAATTTCGTGGCTGCTGAACGGAGAGCTCACTTATCTAGCCATAGCTGTTGAGTTATACATGATGGCGCGACTTCAGCTTCTTGCATCACAAATTACAATGTCACTGTGTAGAGAATCGACGCACTCCTCAATTTCCATACAACATTGACACTCTTTAGCATAATTTACGAAGCAGTTCAATGCGACAATTGCCACGTTTACACATGAAATATTATAGTTTGTAATTTACAACACAAGGTCAAGTCACGCAACAAAATCAGAGTGAAATATTTACCATTTACTCAATTTTTCTGAACTATCAAGCCTTTGTTGTAATTGCTTAAGACGTTCGTTGTGATTGCTTTTTTTCGCGGTAACATTTGAGCCGTCTTCGTCGGTCACTGCATGGTTCATTAACATATGGATCAAGCAGCGCCGATAATTTGTGCGCACGACGTTGACCACGCTTCACTGGTGTTTTCATCGATTTCACTCGATTTGATACGGCCCAGGAATATAATTTCAGGCAGTCATCGCTTTGGTAACTGTTATTTTCCGTATCTGAACTCCACGAAGACATTTGTTCGAATTTTGACCAGCTTGATTGTGATTGTCACTAAGTATTTATATACTTTTCACTTCGGCGAGAAGGCAATGTCTTCCTACTATGACGTATTAGTTACCAATTTCCCAGCTTCGCGGTTTTCAAAAACTTTTGCCGTTAAAATTTGAAATTTTCAAATTTCATTGCCTTATTACTCTGTGAAAACAAGCTCAGTTTTAAATCTGTTTTGTATTTTCATAATCTACGTTTCAAGATGATTCTAATTATGTAAACTCTCATTTTGTGACAGGGGCACTTTAAAAATTCACACAAGTTAAGATACAAAACCTTATAGCATTATTTACAATAACATTGTTCTCATTGGCTGAACGCGTACGCATGAGTTCATCTATTACCATTTTCATTACACTATATCAAATCTGCAATTGTTAAAGTTGTTTAATAATGGTTGAATTTGACATTTGTTAAATTTATGTACATTTAAATTGTGATATTAGAGCTATGGAAAAAAAAGCTAGCCCAGCCATCTCACCAGGTTGATTACTTTCTTCCCTGTCGTGTCTTCAAGACTTTCTCAAAAAAGTTGATAGAAATATTCAGTTCAGACTGGTCTTTCAGTTAATCAAAATTTTCCTTTGTGGCAAAGGACATATTTTCTTGACATAAAACACCAAATATATTAGTATAAAATCGGAGACTGTGTGTGTGTGAGGCACTCGGTGTTAGATCATATCGAACTAACATACCATGACATCATAATTTCTAAAATACTGGAAGTGCAATTAATCTGCTTTTAAAATATTTTATTATTACAAGAATGGCAATGACACAGGAGTGAACGATTATCATATTATTCATATAAATCATCTTACGTATTTTATATTGTCATTGGTCAATATGTATCTGTCTTTAGCTTCAATTGACTTACTCTAATATGATGAACAATGTTTATTACTAAATTGCTGTGCTTAAAGGATTTTAAAGTAAGATATATTGTATTAAGGAACTAGGTTATGGATAAAATAGTATCTAGTGTGGGGACGAAACATGATGGGGACGAAACAGCAAGGGGACGAAATGGCAGGGGGGTGAAACAATTTTGACGAAAAAATCATTTGTTGTCACTTTTTGTCCTTCAAAACAGATGCAAGCATTACAACGGCGGGATCTAATTTGAAAAGAAGATGATTTTGGAAACTTGCCCCAATGGATCCCCATCCTACATCTGGGAGATTAACCACTGTACATATGTGTTTGCATGGAAGCTTGTTGATCTTGTAATAAAAGCACTGGCAACTTGCAAGCTGCTTTTCTGAGCCAAGCCAAATTTGGTATACAGCAGATATGATCTTTTCATAATATGTTCAACCACACCTTTTGGCTGATTATGTAGGAAGTTGGGAGCCTTGTCATTATATTTTCTGTGCATTTCAGATGATCTTATATTAAGCCCCAGAGGAGGTTGGAAGCCCTTCCCGGCATGCATTGTAACTCATTAATATTATCGATTTCCCGGGACGCGCCGTCATTGTTCGACTGGCTCTCGTTGTGTTCACTACTCAATTTATAAGGAGCGGTATTCAAAAGTACAAATTGAAAATTGTAAATCATGGCGAATTTTCGTACTGTTCGTGGCAACAAAGCTACTGATTTGGATGGACGTGACAATCTTTATGTACATTGTGTGTCGAAAGAGCGACTGGAGCTGCTTCGTGTAGGGATGTCACTTCTACTGTAAGAAGTTTTATAGATAACGACAATGGTGTAAAAGTTGAAGATATATGTTCGCCAAATGCGATAGTCCTTCATTGATAGAAATCTATTCTAGTTGTGACAAGGTACGATTGTTTTATAATTTAATTGGTGGGAAAATGGGCCATTTATACTCGGAAATCATACAAGTATTTGACTTTATATCAAATGAGTCAAATCTATTTTAATTAATATAAAAGCAGGGAGGAGGGGCAAAGGGGGCAGAAGTGCACTTTGAGTTATAGAAATTCTGCCTGCTAAATCTTATTTCCAGTTTTGGCAAAGTCATGAGGTGTGAACTTGAATGTGACCTGATTAAGTGTGTTTGTGCATTTGTAGTTCCTTGAGTAGACTTTATTGCCAGAACACAGAACATCTATCGTCAATGGAACATGCACAATCAGGCTTTCATTGGCAAGTCAACACATAATTGTACATGCACAATCAGGCTTTCAATGGAACATGTACAATCAGGCTTTCATTGGCAAGTCAACACACAAAAGGTGCCCTTGCCTTTTTATTGTTCCTACGTCCCTTTATAAATGCATCAAATCTTTTTTACCTGTAGTACTTATGTTGTGTTCTGTTG